ACTGAAATACGCCCCTTTCCCATTCCCAAATAATCCCAGCCCTAATCCCCCCAAGGTTCAACGCCAATCCCATCCTTACCACTTTTCTTCACTTCTCACAATCTCCTCCCACTTCAGGTAAGGTTTTATTTTTGCCAATTTTTGTTGGGTTTTCTTTTGAATTCTTGATTATGTAGTAGTTTTTCTTCTCTTTTCTTAGAAGTAATTTGTAGTGTATACGTAGTATTTGTGGGTGGTGGTATTTGTGGAGTTGTATCTCTTACCTTAGTTGGGTGAGTTTGGTCAATTGTGGTGGTAATTGGGTTACAACATGATTAATTGGGGGCTCTAGTGAATGATGCCCACAACGTGTTTGTTAAAATGCCTCAATGAGTGTCAATGATAATTATGACCAATTGTACGGGTGAAGCCTGAGTAACCGCAGTTGAGTCACATCTTTTGTGCTATGCGAATGATATTTTTCTTCCAGGTATTATGGCACCCTCCAGGAAACGCCGAACTACAGGTGCTTCATCCAGTGGCCAAGCTGGATCCTCCAGAACGTGCGCTTCATCTCCTGCTCGCCCTTTTGATAGTAACAGGTTCGTCTTCGCCATGGCTCAGGATCGTTTTACTAATAAGGCTCCTAAGAAACCAATACCGGAGAGGGGCATGGATATAGGGTCGCTCCACCATGGTTGTCCCAACTTGAACAATGAGCTGGTCAGGCGTGGGCTACAAATTTTCTTTGAAGAACCAGATGATGGGAATGTGATGGTTGTACGCGAGTTTTATGCTAACGTTAAAGAACATGTGAATGGTGTAGTAACAGTGCGCAAGAAGGCTGTGGATGCCTCTGTTGAGGCTATTCGGAGAATATACCGGTTGCCCGCACCTGTGGCAGAAATGGAGGATTTTTATGAAGCCTAAGGCAGAAAATACACTCAGTGGGAGCTATTGTTTGAAACAATTTGTGTACCTGGAAAGGAAATTGTGTGGATGAAATATGGGAAGAAGTTCCATTCAGTGGCACTCACCTTTGAAGGGAAGTGCTGGCTGTATGTCATCAACAACCGCCAGCTTCCGTCCTCCAACACCACAGAAGTGAATGCCCCTCGAGCTGCATTAATTTGGTGCTTTATAAATGGTCATAACTTTGACGTAGCTAAGCTTATTCATGAGGAGATGTTTACACATTGTCCGGTGAAGAGGTATGGTTTCTTCTTTTCTTCCCTAGTCACTAAGCTTTGCCGGGCAGCCCGAGTGCCGGAAAATTTGAGCGTGGATGGAAAAGTGCCGAGAGAGGCAAAGTTTCGAGCTGATAAGGCGACTACTGGGAAGGAGCCTGTGGCACCTGGTGGTGATGATAGTGATGACTCAGATGCATCTGAGGAGGGAGAGGATGAGTAGGAGGAAGCAGAAGCGGAGCCGCACACCCATGCGCCGGTTGCAGAAGCTGCAAGACCATCTGGGGTTGGTCGGGTTACCCGATTAGCAGCCTTAGAGCAAGAGATGGCAGGGATGCGTACCACTATGGAAGACTTGGGGACACGAAATGATTTGGCCACCCAAAATGCTAAATTTGAGAAGAAATAATGGGCTGGCTGCGAGCTCTGGGTCGTGCATGTCATCTGGATCCGGGGACGGTCTCCGATCAAGATTGATCCACCATTAGCCTACATTAAAGTCCTAATACAACCATATTAGGCTACCCGTCCCGTAGCCTACATTACAACCATATAAAGTCCTAATTGATCTGAGACTGAATGAGCTCAATTAGTAAAGTAGTACACTACGGGCAAGCCTATGGTGCATCTTTGTGGCATATGAATGTTCTTTCTGAGAGTGAGTGAATTTTGTCTATCTGAGTTCCTAATTGTTCTTAATGTTATTACGTGTGGAACTACTCTCGTGTGGGATGTGAGGGCATTTGATTCACGAAGGAAAGGTAAGTCTTGACCTCTGTATAGAGTAAATTGAGTAAGTATGAATATTGCATGGCACGTGAGAGTCGACTCTTGAGGCAAAGATGTTACACTACTAGACGCTACTTTGGTGATATGTTCTTGGTGTGATGCGTTAGGGAAAAGCTTAGTGAAGGAACCTTTGTAGAATATGGTGGATTGCTCGGGGACTAGCAATGATTTAAGTGTGGGGTGTTGATAATAGGCTAGATTCATGTAGTTTGGCGACTATTTATACCCCAACTTGACTATGCTTCACCGTTCTAGGAAGGCTAGATGACGATAAAATGGCTCTAATTGTGAATTTTATGTTTTGCAGGAGCAAGTCGTGCTTATGAGGACTTAGGACAGTGTTTGGAGCTAAATTAAAGCAAGGAAAGCCCCTCGGAGTTGAGTATGTGTGAAAGAAGAAACAAAAGAAGAGATAAATAGTTGATCCACTCTAGCGTGGGCCAAGCGCGGCCACGCTAGAGCAGAAGAAACGGGGATGTGTTGAAGTCGATATGCGCGGCCCAAGCGCGGCCGCGCTAGTCACTCCGAAACGCGGAAATTTTAGGGGTAAACTTGGAAGTTTGGGTGCAATTCCACTTAACCTATAAGAGGGCTCGCCCAAAAAGACGATATCAAGGTTTTTATAGTTTTGTTCAAGGCAAGAAGAGGCAAGAGGCAAGGAGGATAATTCGGCATCGAGTTCTACCTTTATTCCTTTTGTTTTTATCATTCATGATGAATTTTGATGTTGTTATTATGAACACAATTATGAGTAGCTAATTATTTAGTCTAAGGTTTTGATGGAACCTGTTGAGGGATGAACTTCTTGTTGTGTTAATATAGTTTGCCCAGTTTAATCTCTATTTGTTCAACTACGTTCTTGCTGTAGTTAATTAATAGGATCCTCAATTAGTTGTGCCTATTTAATATGTATTACTTGGGAGAGAGTGCATATTAGGTAGTTGTGAACAACACCACTCCCAAAGTATATGAGGAATCAATAACCGATGGTTTAAATGTGGGATTAGGGATAACGAAACCTTGGGTGCGATCTTAGTGAGTTGTAATAAAAGCCAGCTAGCATAACTCGGGAGAGTGCGTGTAAATTGTCGTAATTACTCAGGAGAGATTTACGGTAATAAAGTGCTCATGATCGATAGAGACGATTAGGCAAATCTATACGAAACATAACAGGAAGGGATTCCATTAATAGGGGAAATCACAACCTTAGATCCTTCTCTTATTTGTTTACAACTCCAACATAGTTAGCTTTTAATTTACTTAATTTTATTCAGTTATAGCTAGTAAAATATCACCAAGTGTTATTCAAAATATCTGGGAAGTTGATTACGGAGAATTCATCTGACAAAAGTAATTGGTAGGTTAATTCCCTGTGGGATTCGACTCTGGGCTAAATATCCGGATTATATTTGCAACGACCGCTTTGTCCTTTTTATAAGGCATAGTTGGGCGTGATCAATGTGGCAGGTTCCTTCTTCTAGAATTAGATATGAAAAATTCAAATTTTTTGTAAGTTAATTCTATGTATAGTGAGAGGAAATGGTCTAACATATATTTTTGCCCACAGACACTTCCGCTCTCAATGTAGAAAAGGTATTCAAGAGGTAAGGTTTTATGTCCTCCTCGGTTGTACTTTTTTGTTTATATAATAGACAAGGTAGGGGTCTAGCCAAACCCTCCAACACCACAGGAGAAGAAAAACTGGGTGATTGACTTTTAATAAATAAATAAAAAACCTTTACATATTGTACATTGGCGTACTTCCATATAATTTTGCAACTTTTAATATTTTACTTATTCTTTTTTCTTTTAAACTTTTTAATTTTAATTAGTTGTTAAACACAACTTTTTATTTTTCAAATATTTTTTTATACCTTCAATCTCTTCCTTTTCACAGTTGCACTACTCCTACAAAACACACATACACAATATAAACCAACAAAGGACTTCTATTAGCTGCCTAAGGAGGAAAGTTTATTACCATTATTTATTATAATAATGATAAATTTATTATGGAATAAAATTCTAAACTCATACATATATTTTGTAATTTAGAAAATAGAACAAATCATGAATTATACTGTATCCACATAAGTATGAAGTTGATTATGTATATATTGCCCTTTCAGTAGGGAGGACTTTTAGTATATACCTCCTACTACTTTTTTGGGTGCTAGAAATCACTATGTTGTATTAAGTTTGAGGTCAAGTATAGCCCCCCTCACTGCACCCCTTTTTGGAATACAACACCTCTCAGACCTCTGTCTGGGGTACTTTATATATATATATACATATATATATATATATATATGATACCTAAATAATGATATGTTCTATTTAACTTTCACTTACCGAAATACCACTTCAAATTCGAAAAAGATATAAGAATTTTATAGATCTTGACATATGAATATGTAAGAATAAAATATTGACGCATTCTAATAATACTTGATAAGAAAGTGATCATACAACACATTATTTAAAGTTAATAAAAATGGAGCACTTTATATTCTATTAAATATTACATCCATAAGAGAATTTCAATATTTCTAGACACTTTTTAAAGAAAATTCTATATAAAATCTTAAAATTATGTATAAAAATTATATATTTATATGTCGATTTTGTTTGGGTTTTTTTACTCAATACTAAACCAAATCAAACCAAATCTCATTGGATTTTTTAATCGATTTGGTTTGACTTTTTGATTTGATGCAGTTTTCCGGTACGAGGAACCCACCCATAGTTTTAGATCAACTCCACGTTTCTACTAGTTCAAATTTAACCTGCCCAAATCAATATGGAAACTTACGAAACTTACTTTGTATTAGCAACGAGTTCACTGTACCATAAGAGGAGTTGAAACTTGAAACTCTCTCTTGCGCGCGACAATGTAGATATATTTTTTTTGGTAATTATCATATTTTATTATCAAGAACGAAATTACAGCTCAAAAACAAACACTAATTCTGGACATCTTCCCAGAATTAGTTTCTCCTATACTTCTATTTCTACCTACTAACTATGAATTAACAAAAAAATGCATTAGGGGTAGAAATTTAATTCTTCTAATCTTCTTCTTAATCTTGACAACATATAACCTCTTCCACAAGCCATTTGTATAATCTGCTTCATCAGTGCTCCTGCTGGCCTCAGTTGAGCCCGGAAGATTCTATGATTTCTCTCCTGCCATACATAATAGACACAACTTGCTAATATTATTCTGTAGATTTCTGCATTTGCTGATCTGCCTCGAACATTTTTGCATGCCCATTCTATTTCTTGACCCCATTCCATCGGTTGTCTATTAACATTCATCCACTGTAGTAGTTTCTCCCAAATTGCTGCTGTATATGTACACTTGAAAAATAAGTGTTCCATGCTTTCCTCCTCTACATTGCACATAGGGCATAACAGCTCATTTGCTATTCCCCATCTTACTAATCTATCTGTTGTAGCCAACTTGCCCAGTATAGCCACATACAGAATAAAGATCCACTTTGGCATACCTCCATTGTTACATACCAGCTTCCTCCAAGGCATCTTCTGGTGATCCTGCTTTAGCTTCTTGTATATATAGGTAATGGTTATGTGCTTCTTGTCAAGTATCTTATCCAAGTTGACCCCAACATCTATCATGTATTGTTTAGCCTTCAAGATCTTCTATACCAACCATGAAGCTTGCTTAGCTTCTATGTGTTTTACAGGTCTTCCTTTCCCATAATAAGTATGAATCCATACCTCCCAGATTTTGTCCTTTTTTTGAGCTAAGATCCATAGTAGCTTACATACTGCAGCTTTATTTCACAATTCAACATCTAGCAGATTCCAGCCCCCACTTGCTTTTGGTTGACATAGTTTATCCCATGCCACTAGAGCTTTTTTTGTCACTTCAACTCCCCCAGACCATAAGAATTTCCTGCATATAGCTTCTATGAGATGGATTACCTTCTTTGGGAATACAAATATTTGAGACCAATATATTTGGATAGATAGCATCACACTTTTGATTAACTGTATTCTGCCAGCATATGAGAGAAATTTGGCAGTCCAAGATGTTATTCTATCAAGCATCCTGTCTAGTAATGGTTGAAATTGAATAACTGACATCATTTTTGTGCTCAATGGGACTCCCAGATACCTTATAGGCAACTCTCCTTTTGAAAACCCCAATTCATCCATGACCTTTTGCTGCACTATTAGATTTACACCACCAAAATATATGGAACTGTTACTCTTATTTGCAGTTAGACCTAACACCTTTGAGAATTCCATGAAGCAGTTATATAACATGTGGATAGAAACTTCATCACCCCTACAGAATAACAGTAGATCATCAGCAAATCCCAACTGAATAACTTTTAACCTCTCACATCTTGGATGGTAGTTAAAATCTGGCTGATTCTTCAGTGTTCTGAGTAATCTGCTGAGATAGTACATTGCTAGAACAAACAAGTAAGGAGAAAGTAGATCCCCTTGTCTGAAACCTTTCCTAGATGGAAAAGGACAAGTAGGACTACCATTAATCAGATTAGAGTATGAGACAGTAGAGAGACAATTCATGATCCATTCCACAAATCTGGCAGGGAAGTTCACTGTTATCAATAAGTGCTTTAAGAAATCCCATTCCAATGAATCATAGGCCTTTTGTATATCTAGTTTGATCATGCACCTTGGAGTAATACCCTTGCTTCCATAGCCCTTTACCAATTCATGACTTAGGATGATGTTATCCGAGATAACTCTGCCTGGTACAAAAGCAGCCTGACTTATGTCTATGAGATTATCCATAATCTTCTGCATCCTTGTAGTGATCACCTTTGATATTATCTAGTATAGGACAGTACAACAGGATATAGACCTAAACTCCTTGATTGAACTTGGATTTTTAAATTTTGGGATCAATGTCACAGCAGTGCAATTTATGGGCTTATAGATCTCACCAGAGTCAAAGAACTATTTTTTTGCTTTGATTATTTCTTCGCCTACAATTGACCATGCTTTCTTAAAGAAACAAGCATTAAAACCATCACAGCCTGGGCCTTTATTATCATCTATGTTTTGCACAGCATTACATATCTCCTATATGGTGATTGGTTCTATTAACTTCAGTTGTTGTTCTCTTGTCAATATTGCTCCATTCTTCACTATTGTTGGATTAATCACTGGCATTCGTTCTGCTGCATCCCCTAGTAATTTGTTGTAGAACCCCACAATTTCCTGCTGCACCTCTTGATCATTCTGTAATAGCTTACCATCCTGAGCTACAAGAGATTTGATATGATTCATAAAGGTCCTATTTTTCAAACATGCATAAAAGTAGGCACTATTTGAGTCCCCCAGTTTCAACCATTTTGATCTTGACTTCTGCCACATTATTCTCCCCTCTATCATTGCCCATTTCTCCAGTTTGCCTCTTAGTTCCTTCTCTATATCAGCCAAAGCTGTTTGATGACTTGGATAATGCATTTGTTCCTGTGTCTCTTGAAGCTGTCTCCTTATTATTCGAACTGTCTCTCTAACATTTTTGAACTCCCCTGTGTGCATCTTCTTCATTTCCTGCTTTACTGCTTTAAGTTTCTGCCACACTCCTTCCATTCCTTGCCCTTTTTGTAGCTGTATTCCATGCTTGTTCCACCACTATTAGAAACTCTGGCAGCTCAGCACCATAGTTATAAAATCTATATGGCTTAGGACCCTCCTTTCCTGCTTCCTCCAGATGAAGGCAAAGGGGTGTGTGATTAAGGCTGTATTGTGGTCTGGGCCCAGTCCGGGACCGCGAGCCCACGGGCTAAACGGGCTGGTCCATATGGTCCGGTCCCAAGCGGTCCTAGGAGCCCACTGTGGGCCGGTCCAACATGGAGAGACCGCGAGCCCGGGACCGGCTGGCGAGCCTGGGCCGGTTCAACTGGGCCTAACGGGCCCAACGACTATTTTTCAAAAAAAGAATTTTTTTTTTAAAATTGGCCAACGGTTGGAAGTTTAAAAACTAGCCGTTGGCCTGCCAATTTAGAAGTTTGGCTTTTTAAAAAATAGCCATTTGCCCCCCAAACTTTGTTTTAACCCCAAATTTTTTATAATTATACTTTTTCCCTATTCTCAACTATAAATACCCCCTCATTCTTTCATTTTTACTCACAAAATCATCAATCTCTCTCAACCTCTCTCTAATTTTCTTCTATAATTACTTACTTTATTATTGCAATTTGTGAAAAATTGTGAAGTTGGTGAATTGAAGTATTCATGTCTTCAACGATATACAATTTTGAAGAAGTTGTTCGTCAATTCGGTAAACTCGTTCCAACTCTTAAGTTTTAATATTATAGTTTTGTTTAATTTAGTGTGTATAATTATAATTAATATGGCCTTTTCTTTGAAAAAAATATTTGGTGGCAAGGAAAAATCTAAAATTGGTGAATCTAGTGGCCAAGGTACGACTCCTCCCCTGGCTCCCCGACGCAGACCTGTTACCCGTCCTCCTCCACCTGTTATTCTTGATAGTGATAACCCTTATTTTCAATTTACCGATAGTCAATTTTACCATGATATTGCACCAGGTCAACAATTAAATGATGAATACATGAATACTCTTAATGGTAATCCAACTATCGATGAAAATGATGAGGAAAATGATGATTTAGATGAAACGCAACCGGATTTAGATGATACACCTACTAGTCCTGTTGTTAACCCAACTGATAATAATCCAAATGATGCCCCGCCTGACCCTCCTGTAGTAACCCCTACTTTTAATAGACAACCTTCTAAACGGCAAGAAACATCTTTTGTTTGGCACTTTTTTATTCAACTAAGAGATCAAAATAAGGTTAAGTGTAAAACTTGTGGGACTTTGATGGCTCATAAATTTACTGGAGATCGTAGCGGTACGGGTAGTTTGACTAGACACATAAAGACACACCTAAAGATAAAGCTAGATTTCTTCAAATGAAAGCTGCGCAAGAGGGGACAAGTGTAGGTACTCAGGTTAACCCTAGTACCGGGTCAAATCTAGTTCAACCGGGAATTAACACTGTTACCGGTGGCATTTTATATTACGATCCAAAATAAAGATCGGGAAGAATTGGCAAAAATGGTTACCGTTATGTGCTTACCCTATAGCTTTCCTTTTAGCCCTCACTTTGTGCATTATATTAGAAGAGTTTTTAATCCTACTTATAAAGGATGGCCTCACACAACCGTAAAGAGCGACATTTATAAATATAAACATGAATATGAAAAATATTTGCGCTATTTATTTACTCTTATAGATTGTCGCGTTGCTATTACTACTGATATTGGTAGAAGTGGTAATGACTGTGATTATCTTACTGTTACCACTCATTGGATTGATGAGGAATGGAAAATGCAAAAGCGCATTATTGCTTATAGAATAACTAATTCAGGTCACACAGGTAAGTTTATTGCTAGCACAGTTGCAGATATTTGTAGATATTTTTGCATTAGAGATAAAATAATGTCAGTTTCAATAGATAATGCTTCTAGTAACACTAATGCTATAGGCTTGCTTAAAACTATACTAAATCCTACATTTAGTAATATTTTCCATGTTAGATGTATTTGTCATATTTACCATTTAATCGTCGGTGATGGTATGAAAATTTTAAATGTTTAAATTGAAAAGGTTAAAATGTCTTTTATTCAAACCGTAGAAGTAGACTTAGAGAATATTTTAAAAAATGTGATGAATTTGGCCTTAGAGAAAGAAAGTCTCCTAAAGCTTGTCCGGCTTTCTATTTGATTGTATCGAAAGGCCCAATGAATTGGGATTTCCCTACTGGTCCAGGTCATTTCGGGGCAAGCGGATCATTTATGATGAAGAGGATGAGCTTCAAGAGAATGATTCGGAGTTATTGCAGAGTGGAACCATGCAGTACCAGACACGAGATAGATCTTCCAAAGAACAAGGCCTTTTTCGAATAAGCCAATTCATTTGGGACCCTGAGCCTCCTTTGCGCCGCCTTCTTCATAGAAGCCGCCGGGTTTACCCGGAAGTCCGAATTCTATGGTAGAGAATGCTGTAATAATAATTGGGCCATGAGAGACTCTTTTATGTAATGCAAAAGAAAGGGCCCGATGAATCACACAGAGGCGATCTCAAAGAATACAATATTTTTCAAGAGACAGAAGGCCTAAGAGAGATGGGGAACTTCTCTCCTATAAATCTTCTTTGCATACATGTATGAAAGTTTAGTTGTTGCATATGAATATAGAAACCTAATAAACGCAACGTTTAATGCTCGTGTTGGTGGTGATGATGATGATGATGATGAGCACCTTACAGATCAGGATTGGACTAATGTTAAAATTCTTGTAGATTTTTTAGAACAATTTCATGTTGCTAGAAATGAATTATCTGGGCAATATTATCCTGCTATTTCTAACTGTTTAGTTTATATTGCAGCACTTGCAAATTTGTTTACTCAATTTTCAGAGGGTGCAGTAGTTTATCAACTTGCTATTGAATCTATGAAAGATAAGTTTAAAATATATTTTTTCCCTATCCCCCATCTTTATGGTGTTGCTGCCATGTTAAATCCTACCACGAAATTAGGAGGTCCTCACTTTTGGTATACAAATATTTGTAAGGTTTTATCACTTTCAGATGAGGAATTTGCTAC